TTTGATTTGTGTTTTGTTGTAACTTGGCTTTTCACTTTTAGTTCAAGAAGTTAACTTTAATTAATTCGAAATTAAGATGATTGATAACAATGACTAAGGCTTCGGGAATCACTTAAATGCTTTAATAGGGTTTGTTGAGGTATATTACCCCGGCCTATTACAGTTCAGAGGCCCAAGGCGTCACCCCCGGTACGGGACCTAGTCGACAAGGCCCATTTAGGCTTACCGGCCCAGCTGGCCCATAGGCCCATTAGGATAGGAGGCTTTCCCTATAAATAGGAAGCCTTCCTCCCATATTGGGGGGTCTTTTGGCTCTCCTCTCCTGGAGGATTTCTTCTTCTCTCCCAACTTCTTTATATGATTTTAGATTAGCTCAAGCAGGCTCCATTAATGGAGGATGATATTTGTGTGTTGTAAATGGTGAGGAGAGCATATTAATGAGAAATAGCGGGCTTGGACGTTAGCCTAAAAAGTCCCGTGAGTTTCTCCCTTTCTGGGTTTCCACGTAAAAATCGAGTGTTATACCAAATTTATATTCTATATTTATAATCTTGTGTTGGATTAAAATGAACATTGGCGCCGATTAAAATGAACATTGGCGCCGTCTGTGGGAACACGTTCCAATAGTTCCATGTATATTTGACTCTACAAATTTTTTTATACCAAAAACTACTGATTTTCGACAAATAAAGGAAGAAGAGATGATTCTGGGAAGAGGTCCAGATCTAGTCACTGCGGGATATATGCCAGAGCTACCACGAGACTTTTTAGTCTAATGTCCAAGCCTGCTCTTTCTCATTAATATGCTCTCCTCACCATTTACATCACACAAATATCATCCTCCATTAATGGAGCTTGCTTGAGCTAATCTAAAATCATATAAAGAAGTAAGTTGGGAGAGAAGAAGAAAACCTCCAGGAGAGGAGAGCCAAAAGACCCCCCCCCCCCCAATATGGAAGGAAAGCTTCCTATTTATAGGGAAAGCCTCCTATCCTAATGAGCCTTACGGGTCAGCTTGGCCGAAATGGGCTGGGTAAGCCTAAATGGGCCTTGTCGACTGGGCCCCGTACCGGAGTGACGCCTTGGGCCTCTGAATAGTAATAGGTCGGGGTAATATACCCTACGTAGCACCGATACAGGTAAGTGGAAACGCGGAAATGGGTACGGAGATACGACAAAACCCAAAAAAGTAGGATACAGATACAGGGCCATATTTATAAATATTAAAAGTTATGGGGGTGTATTTATAAATATTAAAAGTTATAGGGGTGTATTTATAAAATATTAAAAAAATACATTTTTTAAAAAATACACATATATTATCCTCCGACGTCTACCCATTTATGACATTAAAGCATTTTACATTTTCAAGATACTTCGAAATAAATTCATATTTTATCTCATATACACTGGTGCATCTCGAAATATAAATAGTCAATAAGTCATCAATTTAAAATGAGAAATAAGTTAAACAACTACAGTTTTGAAATCAAAAGTGCAAGTACTCAAAATTCTAGAATAATGAAGTTAGAAAACAATATTTTAAAAGTTCTAATACATATTTCCGTTGGAGTTATTAATTTTCAAGGATAATTAGAATTAGGGATTGGAGCTAGGATGGGCAAATTAGAAATACGTCAATTAGCTGTGTACCACATAAAAGCAACGTGATAATTATTATTAGCTTTACATTTTTTAAGAATTTTATTATGTAAATTTTGAGTGTTTTTTTAAAGTGTTTTTTTTTTGGAAGAACTTTTTAAAAAAAGTTGATATGTGTATCCATCAGGATACAGGTATCCAAAATTTTAAAATAATTACCAAAAAATGGAAACTTTTAAAAATTGCAGATATGGCCCAGAAACGTACGGTATGGGTATCCTAGAGTATCAGATACGGGAACGTTTCCGATACGCCGATACCCTAGTGAAGTATCCATGCTTCATAGAATATACCCCAACAGGGTTGAATAATTGTTCTTTTCCAATAATCATGAATACGATGTCGCTAATATATTCCCAATTCCGGTTAAGGCAGCGGGAGCATGGTTTTCATTACGTGTTAGTCCTGTTACGGTTTACATTCATCCACTGAAAATCCCGTTGAATATCAAGACATCACACCCGTATCATATAAGACCAGATATGTTTCTATTCCCGGTTCTATATATGTTTATCCTTTAATGTTCATAGTTTAGACCTCAACGTTAATTGCAAGTATAAACTAAATTTAACATACTTCTAGGTTGTACATCATAGTCATAAACAATCAAAGTATAAATGATAAATCACTTAGAACTTTTATAAAACATCTAGTGGGCGTAGAAGTTCATCCCTAGCCTTAGCTAAGAATTCAGCTTCTTGAGCTCATACTAATTACAAAAATGTAACTAAGATAAAGGAAATACAATAACATACAAAAAAAATATTAACTAGAACCAATTGTAGAGGAGAAAAATGGGTTCTTCTCCAACACTTCAAGAGAATGCAAAAAGAAAACATAAAAACTGAAATTTAAGTTCTCAAGATGAAATGATGATCTTGTTTGATGAATTAAGGGCTATATATAGGCTAAAGAATGTCATCTTTCAGTCTATTTGAACCCAACAATTAGGCATGGAAGACATATTTGCACGTCATCCTGTTTTGTGCAGAATCAGACCTAACCGGCGCCGGTTTCAGGCCTAACCGGCGCCAGTTAAGCTACAAAATTCTGGTCTATTGTGGCAAAACATCAAACCGGCACCGGTTCTAAGAAAGACCGGCGCCGGTTTGCTTCTTTTGTGCAAAATTCCGCTTTTCGCTCTGTTTGACGCCCGTAGTTGATCCCGAAGTGCCGGTTCTTGGTCCCTTTTGACTGTTGACTCACGTTTCTTCACCTTTGGCGCCTTGTGTGTTTCTGCTCAAATTGGGATTTTTACTCATTTCTTCTTTGAATATTTGTTCAAATAATTATAATTACTTATATGAAATATAGGTAACTATTGTGCTTGTCAATACTCAATAGTTAAAAAAGAAAATAAAAATTCTTTAGCATTTCCCCCTACAATATTTGAATAGATCCAACCAAACGTGTAAGAAAATTTTTTTAAAAAAAATCTTCTTCTTTTTTTGTTTAAGCCTAGTAATCCTAACCCGGTCCGGATTAATATTGGACTCTCAAAAACCCATTACAAATATTTTAGAGAGATATTCCGAATAATTCGAATAATTTAATAAATTTCCCACCGGCCACTGCCAAACAGAACGAATTTATAAAACTCTAACAAACAAAATGAACTTATTTCTTTTCTTAGTATTATTAATTGGAATATCAAACATATGAATGGTTCGGCGCGATATACCAAATATTTTATCACATTTTTTTGTTATATAAAAAATTTTGGTATACAAAAATACATATTTTTACCTTGTCAAAATTGCAGTATACCTTTTTTTGGTACAGTGGATGTGTGGTATCCGTGAATTTTATATTATACTGGAATTTTAATATGACTAATTATATGTCAAACGAAAGATACAAAATCAGTTATAATTGTGATGCACCAAAACCATTAATAAAAAATCACAAAATACTAATAATAACATATTGATGTCCTATTCCGTTATGAAAAAAGTCATTATAATTATGTTCACTGTTTCAATGTACCACATACCGAAAACAACACATCTCCGAAAACAACATAGATATAAATAAAACAATAGACATCTCCAATTAAAATTAGTTCAAATAACATGGATATGAAGTCATTTATCCTTTAGGTGATGTTGTGTAAATTTTACAATTTTAAAGAAATTAATGGATTAGACTTTCGATATAACAATATATTAGTATACCATTTTTTTGAATTACATATCGGTATCATGCCGAAGTAATTTCGTAAGGTACCATGCATACCGTATCAAAAATACTTGTGCCAACTAACTGGGACAGGTAGGCTATCTGTAAAGCCTAACGATTGTTCTCTTACTTGTTATCCAATCAATGTTTGTTTTTTTTTTTGAAAATCAAATAAATAATTTATTTATTAAATCAAAGCAAATAAACAAGTGATCGAACAGTCTGAGACTACAATTGGATGAGAAACGGAAAGGATCCCACGAATCCTTTCAGATTGTTAACCACGCAATAATATAGTTTAGTTTAATAGCCCGGTTTCTCTTCTTGCTACTCTAGCGAAAAAAATAAAAATTACATATAAGAGATCTGATTTCACCAGCCTCCGGAAAGGGAGAATTGGTTTGACTAGTAACTAACAAAGGAAACTCAACCCAGTAGAAATTGGCTGAATCATCGATTTGACCAGCCATCGAAAAGGAAATCCATTTGAGCACTAATATCTCTCAAAGCGAGGCGGTAGTTCAGGAGGAGGGCGAGTAGTTGAAACTTCAGAAGAACTAGGTTGAGCTCGCCTTGCCAATGAACAATGAAACTTCACTACTCAATCAGTTACACCGACGAGGAGCACACAACCTCTAGACATTGATAGGAGAAGAACAAATCTCACACTCACCTGAAACGGACATAAGTCTTGACCAAAGAAGTTGTCAGACCAAAATCATAACCCTAGAAGATAGAAATAAAAAGGAGATACAACATAGCAAAACATTTGATTCATTACTGTCTAAAGAAAATCACAATCATCAAAATTCTTTATTATTTGAACTCATCCAGGAGCTCGTCATCTAGGGTTTCCCTAGGGCTAGCTCATGTTCCGTCCAATCAATGTTATTTTTCACATTTTGACCGGACCAATTTAGTGTGTACCATGGCTTTGTAAGGTGGAATATATGCAATTTCATGTTGATAAGCAATATATGCATGGCATGCATGAGCATGTGTATGTCCACCAGCTTAGCATGCTTATCGGACTCCAGATGGCTTATTTATTATTGTTATGATCTCATGTGCATCAATAATTGTATTCTTATCAAATGGGTTGTCCACATTTAGTGTATATCTTATTAAAGAACCCATGCATGAAGATTGCTAGTCCGTTAGTGAAATTCGATCTCATCATGTACTTTATTGAATTGACCCTATTTAAAGGGTATGCGTTAGTATACATAAACTATGGTGAATTCATACTTGTTAACTTGGTATCAGTCGCATTGTGATATCTTCCCTTCATGGCTTCTCCCAAATCTTCCTTTCACCCGACGTTAGCATCTCAAACATAAAAAACTATATCCCAATTACTCTTGATCTTGATAATAGTGATTATTCATCATGGGCGGAATTGTTCAAAATTACCGCCTGAGCATACCAGGTCCTTGACCACATAATTCCATCGGACAATGATACATCCTCCACTTCTGCCGCCACGAACTCCTCTCTCACGATTGAATAGTGCCTCGCTCGTGACGCCGCCAAGGTTGAGACGAATGCACCGTGGTCCCACCTTGATGTCATTGTTTTACAATGGATTTATGGGATCATCTCTCATGATCTTCTCCATACCATAATCAAAGTGGACTCCACCACCCAAGACGCTTGGGACTGCTTTGCCGAGCTCTTTCAAGACAACAAACATTCATGTCCTATCTATTTGGAGAATGAATTCTCCAACACACAGCTAGATCAATTCCTAAATGTTGCTGCATATTGCCGTGGTCTGAAAACCCTCTCCACCAATCTCAAGAATGTTGATGCACCGGTGGATAACGATCGGCTACTCCATCGCATGGTCAACGACCTCAATCCTATGATATTGTGGACTCCCTCATTCATCAAAAGGAACCAATTTTGTCGTTCTCTAAGGCCCGTTCCATGGTAATCCTCGAAGAATCTCGCCTCAATCAACCAAATGGCTCGTCTTCTGCCACGATACTGCTGTATTCCGATGAGGTCACGCCACTGGGACCATCTAGTTCTCGTGGAGGCCTTCTACTTCCAACCGAGGCGGCGGTCGTGGATGCACATCTTCCCAACATGGCGGACGTGGACGATAATCTGGATGTGCGGACCCCGTTTCTTATCCGGGTCAGTGGCCCTAGCCTCCGCCTTGGGCCTACTGGATGCAACCGCCAGCTTGGGCCACACCGCCTTGTCCATACCCCGGTACTCTATAGAATGGCTAGCCTGGTCCACGCCCTTCCCCTGGTGCAGGCGTCTTGGGACCTCGCCCACAACAAGCGCATATGGTCGCTCCTCCCACCGACCTCTTCGCTGCCTTGCAGACTGCCACCCTCTCTCCTCCCGGAAAACAATGGTACATGGATACTGTGGCTACATCCAACACGTCTGGATTACCGTTCGCGTCTGCCACGCTGGGAAGAGGTGCATCCACGATCGCCACCTCGGTTGGAAGTAGAACGGCCTCCATGAGAAGCAGATGGTCCCAGTGGCGTGACATGATCAAAATGCAACAGTGTCGTGGAAAAAGATGAGAAGTTCGGTATATTGCGGTGAGATTCTTCGAGGATTACCATGGAACGAGCCTTAGAGAACAACGGAAGTGTCTCCTTTTGCTGAATGAGGGAGGCCACAATATACTAGGATTGAGAGAGGCTGTTGACCATGCGAAGGAGTAGTCGATCGTTATCCACCGGTGCATCAACATTCTTGAGTTTGGTGGAGAGGGTTTTCAGACCACGACAAAATGCAGAAACATTCGAGAAATGATTCAGCCGTGTGTTAGATAATTCATTTTCCAAACAGACAACACGTGAATGCTTATTGTCTTAAAAGAGATCGGCAAGGTCGTCCCAAACGTCTTGGGTGGTGGAGTCCACTTTGATTGTGGTATGGAGAAGATCATGACAGATGGTGTCATAAATCCATTGTAAAACAATGGCATCAAGGCGAGACCACAATGCATCCGCCTCAACCTTGGTGGCGTCACGAGCGATGTGTTGTTCAATCATGAGAGAGGAGTCTGTGGCGGTGGAGGTGGAGGATGTATAATCGGTAAAGGGAATTATATGGTCAAGGACCTGGTATGCTCGGGCAGTAATTTTGAACAATTTCGCCCATGATGAATAGTCACTATTATCAAGATTAAGAGTAATTGGGATATTGTTTTTATGTTTTGAGATGGCTAACGTCGGGTGAAAGGACGATTTGGGGGGAGCCATGAAGGGAAGATATAACGAGGTGTTTGATATCAAGTTAACAAGTATGAAATCACTATAGTTTATGCATACTAAGGCATACCCTTTAAATAGGGTCAATTCAATGAAGTACATGATGAGATCGAATTTCACTAACTGACTAGCAATCCTCACGCATGGGTTTCGTAATAAGCTATACAATGTATGTGGACAACACATTTGATAAAAAAATACAATTATTGATGCGTATGAGATAATAACAATAATAAATAAGTCAATTGGAGTCCGAGAAGCATGCTAAGCCGGTGGACATACACATGCTCATGCATGTCATGCATGCGATGTCTAATACCAAGCATGCTCATGCATGCCATGCATATATGATATATTGCTTAACAGAGTGAAAATTATTTAGCACATAATTACACTAACAACCGTATTAGCCGAAGAGGCTATAGGTGCTCCTGGCTACTAGATCAATTACATGTTCCATTTTTTAGATGTTCTTATTTCCATACATTCCATTATTTGTCCCACGCCAAAAATTGAAATTTTCCACCTTGTCATTGTGTTTATATGAATGACATCATCACAATAAGTGAAAATAAGAAACTCATTCGAGAATTCACCTTTTCTCTCCGATAATAGACCTTAAAGAGTTTGATTTTATTATAAGAGTTAAATTCACCAGGATTTTCTTCTTCATCGTCTTGTGTATGTATGAGTGGTTTTAAATATAATATACCAATGGAATTACCTTATGGGTAAAAGGTAAGAGGAGTTACTTGACGGGATAGATACGATTATATGTGTAATTTTTCCCGATCCATCCTGTTGTTACTTAAAATTCACATTGTGAATCCATTATTTTCATATCAAGAGAAACGATATTTGGGTTATTGGGTATGGACACTTATAAATCGATACCCACACACCAGGGATATTATCACCAAAAACATGTGTAATAGTAATCTACTCTTAGCTAAAGTCCCAAGATTGATCCTTCCTGCAAGTAAAGAGCAGCATCCACATTTCTAGCTTGAGTTCATTCCAGAGCATAGGGTGGTATCAATAGATGGTCTAAAAAGATTAAGAAAGAGCTGACAACAATAGAGCATTAAAGAAGGAACCTTACCATTTCAAGCAGATTACATCTTTATGGAACTTTATATTAGAACTGGAAATGTACAGACAAGCTACCACTATATTCCAAAATTTATGAAGTTCTAAGAGCAAACAAATGTTCAAAAGTCTACAACACCTTTATAATTAATTAACGTCATGCTAAAATAATGGAAATTGAAATGACAACAGCAAAAAGTACAAGTTCTCATCTGAACTATGTTAATGAAAAATTTAGTGTTACAAAGAACACATTTCCGTGTAAAAATGCTGACAATGTTCTACAACCCCAAGGAGTAAGCTAAGAACGTATGGATTGGTTTTCATCAATGTAAATAAATAAGTAAATAAACACCAAACAAATCTCATACTTTAGGTCCATTTTATTTCGAAAGTGTTGTTTTTACACGTTTTTTTTGTACACGCCATTTTACACGCCAGTTGAATTGTCTGTGCACATACAATTTGGTCGGCGTGTAAAATGGCGTGTACGAAACACGTTTACACAAAACATGATTGATTTCATTTTGGTCCAAAGTAAATTCATTCTAAAATCTGATTTGAACGCTTCTTGTTTGTTTTGCATGATTCTTAGATGATAATTTAAAATTTGTGATCTTGTATAAAATAAGAATAAAAATAAGTAAAATATGTGAAAAGAACATCACCTTAATAGAAAATAGGAAAATATTCACGCAGCCCATATCAATTTGGAAAATGACATTTATACATGCTTTTTATACATCAGGTCGAGTCAGGTTGTAGAGAATCATTATTTAATTTGAAATTGGATCACAAATAAATCGGTCTACTGAAAAAATACATGTGAAAATCTTACATCTATTTGCACATCCATAAACATTGATTTATACGCTCTTCTATGTGCACGAAAACTAATGCCTTGAAAACATTAATAACTCGTTTGGTAACACTGAAATCGGGTGAATCAATCGATTCTGCTGAAATATATGAAGTTCTGGATGAATTGGCTATATTGACTGATTCTGTTGATTTATGAAAAAAATTATACTTAAAATATATTTTATTAATAAAATAAAGAATCTTTCAAAAACATATATTATAAGAAAAAATAGTTAAAATAGTCATCTACATTAACTTCAGCCAATACAGACAGAAAAATAATTCCAACATTATTTTTTCTCATCATTACACAATTCAACGCATGAAATTAAAAGTTACGTGTTTGATTAAAAAATTGGCTGATCGATAAGCCTAAAAACATATTCGCCAAACTGGCTCTAATTATACCAAACCGATATTTGTTGCATACTCTCTGTTCATACTTCATAGACTGGTCGCCCCTTTTGCACACAGATAACTCATCTGCGTTTGCACGAGTTTATTTGTATCATGCAATGATACAAAGCCACATAAAAAGTACTCCGTAACAGATAACTTATCGCTCATCAAACCTCCATCTCTGGATTATTAAATTGTGAAAAGCTTATAATTTAAGTGAATGTTTGCTTGATTGTGTAATGATATTACAATATCATCATTTTGTCCAGCCGGCCTGACGGGTACCGTCGTCCGACTGAGGGAATTTCGAGATTTTTCTGGTGGAATTTTTTAATGATTGTTTTTGACATGTTTTTCATCAAGTCTAGTTTACTCATATCAAATTTCATCTAAAAATTCAATCGGGAAGACAGTCAAATAATTTTTTGAATACAATTGCGCTGTTTTTTCATTTGACTGCCTTCTCGGTTGAATTTTTAGTTGAAATTTGATATGGGTAAACCAGACTTGATGAAGAACATGCTAAAAAACATCATCAAAATATTCCACGCTAGGCGCCCCTCAACCGCCCAACTAGCGTCTAGCAAGTTTTAGAACAATGTTTCTAATACGTTAATAAATAAAATACACTCAAAGTAGAGAATGTGATTAATCTAAAATTCAACATGTTGGAACTATTTAAGAACAAATATAATATTTTATTAATAAAATAAAGAATACTCCCTCCGTCCCATTTATTTTGTCCCGTTTTACCTTTTCGGGAAGTCCCACTTATATTGTCCCATACCATATTTGGCAAAGTTTGTGTGGCTCTAAATCATTCTTACTTTATTCTTACTTTATCAATTAATATCAACCACACAAACCCACTTTTCTTAATAACCGTGCCACCCTCTTCCGGGACAATATAAATGGGACGGAGGGAGTAATGTATAAAAAATAACTAAAACGATCATCTATAGTATCTTCAGTCAATCCAACCGCGAAAGTAACTACAACATTATTTATTTTAATTATTACACAATTCAACGTGTGCAATCAAGAGTTATATGTTTAATAAAAAAAATGATTAATAAGAATGATAAGTAACTGAATATGTTGAGAATAGAGGGTCAACAAACCCGCTCTAACGCCATTAAGTATGATTCATGTATAATTGAATAAAAGGTTGTGAAAAACGCAGCCCTCCTATCTTACTGTAAGATAGGAGGGCCTAAGTCACTGTTCGGTGGGGAAGTTTTGAATTGAATGGGAAGAGTCGTCTCTTTTTTGGATTGGGATCCTCTGCCGCACGGCAGAGTACCTTGTGACAGGGAGGCCGTCGGATGGGAAAAGTGGAGCCTCAAGATACGAACCTCGAAATCTCCGACCGTTGAAATATTGATCGGACGACTCCCGAAGGCCGGGCAAAGTGCCTTACTCGGAAGTAAGGCAGAGAAACCGGTTCCCTCTTTTTTTGAGTCGCCTCTTTTATTATTTGTTCTTTACATCACATGTTTGAAACAAAAAGTAACAATGATAAAAGTACTCCATATCAGTACATAATTTTAAGCAAAGATCCTGCTATTTCCTAATCGAAGACTAACAAGCAGAGATAAATTAGAATAAAACAATCCTGCCTGCTGTCTGCTCTGAAATTCCCCAACCAAACATGCGAAGGTATAAATGCTTCCTTTGTTAAATGAGACTATGAGAGGAACTTGAAAGGTACAAAGTTACAAACATAGAAAACTAAATGGTTATAGAAACCCGCCTGACTGGCACTGAAACCCATTGCAAATGTTGTACATGTGATGTAACCAATTACTTCACAATACTCTAATACAATACTTTACATTAACCAATGGCACAAAACAAAAAATGTTTGGTAATCTATAGAACATCGTGACACCGGACTTGTAAAACAATGGTGAAGGACATCCCCAATCAATAGAGTGTAATAAGTTAGTGGACTGTGAGGGTCAGCTTGGATAGAGCCATAGAGGGTTTTGGAGACACAATGGCTATATCTTGGCATATATTTAAGATTTTATAAATAGTGAAAGAGTAACACATACTCCTGTATGTGATTAACACTTCACTCACCATCTATTTATTTTAGAAAAATTATATGTAGGGTAATAGGAGTTCACACCTCAAATTTTCATCAAATTTTGAATTCACACATGTTTTCAAAATCATCAATAGCTGCACAAAGATCAGAGTTTATGCCCCATTTTCTTCTTTCAAATTGGAGTTTGTGCCCAATTTTAAATGCTTTTTCCACTTTAGGGTGCAAATATTATTGATTTTGAAAATGAGGTGCAAACCCAACTTTTGATGAAAAATAGTGTAGAGTCCAATCCCTCGTATTTTTCAAGATATAGACAGCCATCCAAGTCTTCCCTTACAAAACCCCTTGATCCGAATTCCGAACTGGCCCTAATGTGCTAAGAAGTACGTAGTATCTTCTTTCCAGCATATGTTCTAATCTAGTACTATTGCTTTCTCCTTGCTAACATCATGTAAATCTTCACATTTAAGCATTCTGCGCGGAACTTGGATGAGAGTATTGGGGGCCACCCGAAAAAAAATCTTCCTCAAAACTTTATAATACAACATACATGTTGAATATGTTGATTGTTTACAAACCTGGTCTTTTTAGTTGACCAGTGAAATGACTAGAAGTGGGAGCTTCTTTACGCTTCCTGGAAATCAAACCCAAGTCTCTACCTTCCACCTCAGGGTCCCAACAGCTCATAGAGAATCTAGAAGGCTCCTTTGTAGATTCTGCTCTAAAGAAGCAAAATTCTCTTTCATTAGCAGCAGATATAACCTTGGACTTGCCTCTTTCATTGGGATCATCAGTTGGCCCAACTGAAGTGTTCCCCAAATGCAAACCACAGTCTAAAGACTGACCCAACCTCAAAGACAAATCACATTCTTCTTGAGGAGCACCCCTGAGGACTGTTTTTTCATTTTGAGCACCATTTCCAACAGGTTTAGAGGGAAAACTCTGGAAATGGTCGACTTCTGGATAAATCGGTCTGTGACAAATCATATTGCTTTGAGGAGTTTGAGGCCCATTAAAGCCCGAGGGTGAGGCTCTAGGCGGGAAGTCGGTGCCTTCATACAATGGATACACTGCACCCATAGTTAATGTTTTAGGTAGTCCTGGTTTGTTTGACTCTGAAGCCAAAGTGACCAAATTCTTAAGTGCAGGTCTTCCAAAGGTATGTCGGCTTGCAGAACTGGGAGACAGGGAGTTTGAGTTATGATCATTTGTTCTTTGATTTGACACTTTGGGAGACACAGCGTGAAATTCTTGAGTACTTGCGGGTAAGTAATTTCTGGGTTTACTGTTTCGTTCACTCCGAGATGTCCTTTCAGCAACACAGCCGAGAAGTAGAGCAGCTGAACATGCCAAAGTCCATGACAAGCAAAAACATGTATTTCAGGTCACAGTTTATTTGGTAATTGATACTTTTAAAATTTTACATTTATTTAGACTTTCAGTGTACATAATAGAAACAAAAAATAAATACAAATGAGTTTGAGCAAACATCTGAAATAAATTTAGAGTTTGAGTCTATCTTTTATCTTCCCGGAATTTGCTTTCCCTCAAATTTTCCTACGTATTTTGAATTTTTCCACCCTTTTACACAGTACATTCCAATGCCAAACAAACCTTTACTATATGTACCAGTGAGTTTATATAAGGACAGTCATCCCACACCAGGACAAATTGATTTCAAACCAATTGACAGGACAGGACAACAGTTGAAATCCAAAAGTCAAAGCGCATCATGGGTGGTGAAAATCAATAACAGAGAACGTTATCACCATGTATAGAGGCCGGTTATTTCCTTAGGCTATATTTGGAACACAGAAAATGGTTGGCAAAGGAGAAAAACACCTCAAGGAAAATGTTTCTTTTTCTATGTTTTCTTTTAGCTTGGAAACTACGTAGAAACATCAGATTTTATTGATTTAATTTTCCGTATTACGGAATTAATTTTACATACACATATAGATCACTTAGCTTTTGTAATTTGTATAATAAGAAGTAAAATAGAATTATTTCAATAAAAAAAATTGAACAAATATCTAAAATTGATATAGAAGCAACATTTTATCCCCCCATATTTTATTTCCTTCCAAGTTCCCTACATATTCTCTTCATCCTTTTTTTACTTCCTCAACATTTCCCAAGTTCCAATTAGACCCTTAGAGAACCTCCTATGTAAGAAGCTTAGCAGCTAAATATCGGTATTCCTGAGAGAGGAGAGTTCCACAATTTACCTACAATTACCTATAATTAATTGTATAGAGATGGTATACATTTATACCTTCAACACAAGGAGGTAAAAGCGGACCAGTCTCTGTACTCTCATCCCTCCGAATGATCACATCAATAGCATCATTAGCCCTATCCCAGAGTGTTTCAGGATCCATATATTCAGCCTAATTGATTTAAGACAGTTTAAACCCCATCCTTGAAAAGAATTTTGACAAAACCTGTAGGGGGCTGAAGAAGAAATTCTAACCTCAGAATTAGCTTTGGAGTACATTATTTCCTCAGCTTTGAAGACAACAGTTGGAACCTTGATTTGCCACTCAGATTTCTTCTTAGTAACAGTGCTGTGTCTCTCGTGTACACATCTGATCAAACAGTTGGTCGGCATTAGAAACACAACCCTAAAAGCATCAAATTAAAAACACAAAAAACAAGAAACGAAGGCCCATTACCTGAAAATCTTTTGAATGATTGATCCTCTCATGGGTCGGTGCCTCTCTTCACTATGCCACGCTCTTCTTACACACTCGTACGGTCTAGGTCCTGGTCTGGGCATCTTTCTCTCCCTTCCTCTCTCACTCTCTCTCTCTCTTGCTATACAGAACAAATCCCAGAATCACATTCATGCAAAACCCCAGAAATTTCGCCTTACAAAGAAGGCAATCTCTCAATCTTTGTAGGCAAAAGAAGTGCAGAGGTCCAACCAAGCAAGTGAACTTTTTGAGAGAGAAAGTGTTGAGAGAGAGGGAAAGGGGATGCTCCGCTTTACATCATTTGGATTCTTTTTTCATTAAAAATCTTTTCTTTTGCAGGGCAATAATGAATAATGAGTTGTGGGGGTTATAGCAGGGAGAGTGATGTGTACCCTCAAATTGTGTGCAAAAGCCCCACCCTTTTCCTACAAAAGGCAAAACCCCACCCTCACAAAAACCATCCACAGAAAACGCCATTCATATGGAAGTAGGGGGGCCTCCTCTACTGTTGCCCATTCTCCGCCTAAAAAACCCCACCTTGGATTCTCAGTACAGATCCGATCGCCAATCGGGAGGCACATTTCGAGCATACCGGAGGATTATAATTGAATCGTAAATGTAGTTACAGGCAATTAAATTAAAAAGGCAATTTTATACCAAAAAATCAGATAAAAAAATTTCAACCAACAAAGTTTAGTGGAAAGAAAGTAATAAAAAGAAATATTTATTTAAAACTTTAAAACGGCACATTTAGTTAATTGGTCAAAAGAATTCTTTTTTGCACGCTTAGCTTTACATCACTAAGCTCTAAGGCTTTTATCACATTATTTCGAAATGCAATATTGTAAAAAAAGTTTGTTTATAATTTTAAAACGAAAACAAGGTCATTTTTAAGTTATTTGGATTTAGTACAATTTGGTTCTTTTTCTAAAGTTAGGATATTGTTTTTTTCAATTCAATCTTTTAAAACCATGTGATTCCTATTTATTCATTTTACCACATCCCAATGACACAAGTTTAACATTGCCAAGAATATATCAGAAGACATCCAATTAACTATGATTTGTGTCTCTAAGAAATTACGAGATTTCTCACAAAAATCAGTATGATTCTAAGGAACTTTGAATAATAAGTCATCAGCCTTTTCATCACCAACAAATTGTTATCAAAGCTCGTCTATCTCACAACAATCGTCTCCAATAACTTTTAATACGTAGTAATAGCCATTTGAACAAAAGTGACAAAGTTCCTCTTTTTCAATAGATCAAAATCTAATGATTTAACCCGTCAAATATTTATAAGATAATTTGACTTTGCACCCCATATTTCGAGTAATATTGGACTTTGCACCCCATTTTCAAAATCACTAATGTATGCATCCAATCAGCTCAAAAATTGTGAAGGTGTGGCCGACGTGCAAACTCAAATGATTTTGAAATAATGATACAAACTCCCAAAATTTATTATACCAAAATATCATACCTCATTCCCAAATCCCAATTAGGCTTACTTGATTGTTAGATGTCAGTTTCTAATGCGATGGATTTCTAGTCCAAAGTGGCTTTTTATCATTGTGTATACTCCATATTATAGTGTGGTTGCTATTATGAAAGTATCCTAAAATATACTCCGCAATTTATTTATTCTGGTTATAAAGGGATACAAGTAGTTAAACTTATTATTTTAGGACTGTAGGGTGTACCCAGATTTGGTAAGAAACATGTTATAATTAAGTTTTATTTAGAAAATTTTCTCTATAAATCCAACACTAACCTAACAAATTCATGTGCTTCTTGGAATTGAATGACTGTTTCAAATAAACATTTACTAATTAATTTGCACATATTTCATAGTTTCATCTAAATGTACCACCCATCTATTTTACTACGTATCTATCATGATTTCACAAGTATTAAACATGATTTATACATTCAGTTTTTCTTCCCCAGTTTTACTTTTTCACACAGTTGCCCAATACTAGCTTATTCTTCTTACAATATATAACAAGCTAACTTTAATTAACTTTTCATTATTTCACAAAATTCCGTAATCTTTTTCAAACATTTTATTAATTTTCAAGCTTTTACATCATGCTTTTATTTTATGCAAGTTTTGTTCTCTATTTTTATTACTCCGTAATGTGTATTAATTAAAGATAACAAAAGGACATGAATTGTTCTTATGCTAGACTCCAATGTAAGGATGTCACATTCCACCATGTTCTCACTTTAGTCACAAGATTAGCAGCACATAAGCAACCAATGGACCATGGTCCCTAACCTCGTTTCTTGTCTGCCAATATGGAGATTTGTAGTAGCCACCAAAAAATAGATTTCAAACTATAGTAAATTAAAGGCATCTATATTTTTTGTTATAATTTTTTATAAATTTGTGGCTCATATGTACATTTATTAAGGGGATCAACATCCATGAGATTATTTGAGGATTATCTTGATGACGTGGAAGATCTTTTTGGATTTTACGTTTGAGGAGATGAGATTATTCAGAAATATTATTTAGTAAAAACATGAAACAAACATCCATGAGTTATATGGGGATTATCTTGATGACGTGGAAGATCTTTCTTGTCCATAAAAACAAAATGAATAGAGATCATGATTGTGGGAGAATTAGTATGTTTTGATTTTCTTTATGTGACAATAACATGACAAGAAAAAAACATGAAAAACTGAATATTTGAAGAGCATGAATGAAAGATACTTTTTTTGCAATAGATGTACGTAGACACACAAGAACGTAGCAAATGTATACCTTATTGTACTACTTCTATTCTAAAAATCAGCAATTTTAAATGTAAGATCCATTTGTATGTGGCCCACGTTTTAGAAAATAGAGAGATTCGTTGTTTTACATTTTAATTAATTTTGAAAACAGTATGTGCTAGGGGAAAAGATGTAAAGATAGATGCATGTTAAATTCTTAAAATGAAAATTTAATGGAGTTCAAATTAAGAAAATGTTCATATTTTAAATCATTTTTAGAGAGATAAAAAAATGTTACTATTAATGGAATAGAAAGAGTGATTATATTTGATTCAATTCGCTTATTTAGAATGTTTTTAGTTGAATTTATTTTAATTCAAACCAGATCAGACTAGCTACTCAATCAGAATTCGATAATTGTAAGTACGTATAGAAAAAGCATAACCAGACACAACAGTTCGGATTAGACACGATCAAATTTAAACAGACTAGGCCACAAAATTAAAGTTAAATTAAAAACATTTTTTTAGGAAAAATTAAAAACATTTTTAGAAAATATCATGAGTATTGTGTTTTGTGTAGTTACTTTGTCTTCATATATATTTATTACAAAAACAATGTTACAATAGTCTTCTATTGTAACACTAATGATTTTCCGTCATAATTTACTTGTTGAACACTAGTCTATTTTATTTGTTTCATCTTTATTTTTGATAACTTTTACTTTACTTTTTGATACTTTTGATACTTTCTTTCATACTCTTCATCTTCTTTCTTACATTTACTACAACTGCTATTTTCATCTTTATCTATATATGTGAAGCCCTATAAGAACAATTAAAATTTTATAGAGGGAGTATTTTTGGTAAGAAACTTATTTTATTAATTTATTAATGCTGGATGGCATGTTAACCCAATAATTCTTAGGGCGTCTTCATCCATTAGTTTATTTAAAGCCTGCTTAATTGGACGATGCGTAAGATTATTTTCATTGTGAGTGAGAGATTACTTAGGGAGGTTATTAATGCATGTCCTAGAAAAAAACTAATTATTTGAGTACCATTGTTGATGAAGAGTTTTGAGCTTTGAGATTATTTAAAGTTTATTAATAAATTTGATCTAGCAATGATGTGTAATAGAAACACCGTTGTTTAATGAGTATGAATAGAGTTGCGCTTATATGTCCAAAACTTGCTAGGTCTATTAAACGAACATACCAAATAAACTCCTTACCATCAAATTAGCCCTGAGATCGTGATCTAGTCTAGTAAGAAAAGGGCCATTGGGCCATTGGCTACCTTAAAGAATCAACAAGGGTTGGAGACAAACGTGCCCGACCAATTGCCTGGCCCCGCATAGTTTATTTAGGGGGACGCTTGCAATTTGCAACGAAGACTAGCATGGCAAACTAGCTAGGGAGTTGTTGCCTAGAGGATTAACCTGCTTAGGCCCGCCCAATTAGGAATATGAATGAGATGGATAGTGTAACACCCTGGCCCCGTAGAACCTAAGGTGGTTACGCATCACACCCTCCAGAGTCCAGACCTCTAGTATTGTCCTCACAAACCTCCACAAGCCTTTAACACAAACTTTGTCCTCACTCGTGCGCGCCCTAAGAAACCTCCCAGGGGGTCACCCATCCCAAGACTACTCACATGCATGCAATGACGCCTAACTATGAGTTCTTAGGTGATGAGCTCCCTTAAAAGGAGATGCACCTTGTTGGTAGGAGTAGTACTATAAGTCCTTTTAAATTAATCTCAAGTATTACAATCACCCCCACTTAGAAACGCAACGTCCTCGTTGCACTCACAAACCAATCTCAATGAAGCCCAAGAATTTCACCTGCTAAGTGTCCACCCGATATCCAATGAATCAGCACATTGTTGCAAGGGTGCTTTGATATCAACTTGTAACACCTCGCCCCGTAGAGGTCTGGATGACATTCTAGAGTAACTATCTCAAACTCTAAGGGGCGGGGTGTTACATATAGGGCCCGAGAAGAGGCTTTCCCTTGGTGGTTGCGGTTAATGTCCAGTAAGAATTTTAACGCACTTGTATGAATGCCATCTCGAGCCAACGAGAAATGACATTATCAATTCCCCAGAACAAGGAAATGATGAGATAACGAGTGTATATATAATTAGCGGTTAGTGGATTATGATAGAGGATTGCTATTTGTTTTAAAATATATAAATTATGATAAATAGCACTATCATTCAACTTTTACATCATTGATTTTTAAAAGTAGCTAGCACTTGCAGCTGGACACAAGTGTTGATTGTCAGCGATTCAACGTTGCAAGCCTGGAAGAAAGCTCAAGAGGAAATCACATCCAGAGCTGACGCGGGCGATGATGGGAGATCTTGACAGAAGCCAGCAAGGGGGAAATTAAAACTAATGTGGATATCGCGCTGGACATAACACGGGAAATAAGAGCTTGAGGATGGGTAGCTCTTGATCATTCAGGCAATTATGCATGGGGCTAGGTACTCAACAAAGCAGGGTGGAGTGCAACCATGATGGAAGCTTTGGGTCTTAGAGCGGTTTTACATTGGGTAAGCCAACAAGGATGGAGCAGGGTAAAGGTTGAAACAAATTCAGCAATCGTAGTCTCAAGGATATTATGGGGGGG